TTATAGTTATTAAACTCTCACAAGTTTTGTAGACGTCATCCCTCGTTTCCTTGGTTTGTGTTTTCTGTTCACCCATGGCAGCTTTAATCACATCCACCTCTCGCTGGGTAAACTGCAAACTCGTTTTTATCTCCTGTATTTCTCTGGTCATGTCGTCGAGTCTCTTGTTGTTTGTCTCCATAATTAGTTGCACGAAACCTTTGAAGTTTTCCTGCTGTTGGTTCATCAGCGCGATATACTGTACATCTGTTTCTGCTGATCCACAATGTCCATTACTTGCGCCGCTCTGATACACTTCTTCTGCCTCCATATCCTCATTCGCTTCTGATTTATTAGCTCTTTTCCCTCTTGAAGGCATTTTAATAGTTATAGAATTTGTTCAAAGACTTGAAAGTGTAGAAGATGTGAAAAATCGTTATGATTTTTCACATCCGTGAAGTGTAGATTATAAAGTTTCATGATACTACAGCTTCCAGGATGAGTCAGAAAAAGTCAGGAGACAGAGGCTTTGGAGATGCAGAAAGAGGGAGTGTGGTGAACAGACAGAGCTGGGGGTGTAACTTGTTTCATAAAAAGCACACACCAGTAAAACCAGGGCAGCATTTTGTCTTCCATCTGTATTTATAACATCTCGTACTCAGTAGCTCCCACCAATCGTGTGTAGTATCAGGAAAGAAGAAAACAACACACATACACTACATACGCGGTGATGTGTTCACATGTGATTTAATCCTGTTTCTGCTGTTAAAACACTGCAGCTTTGTCAGAGAGAGGAAAATAAATTAGGGTGAGAAAGGAAGTGACACACAAAAAGCTTAAGACAGAAGGATCCCTTCACTAAGATATGGATATTCAATAAAAGGTCTGAAAACCCATTAAATGCAATTACCTTAACCAAGCTGTCACGTTCGAACCAAATGCTCATCATTAAAATGTCTACAAATGGCCTGATGTCATTTTATATCAGCACTTTTCAATGTCAATGAAGAACAAATCGATTTTTTTTTTTCCAAAGGCACAATGCTTTAGATTCAGCTTTTTCAACTGCGACCAGTGCTGCATGGGGCCATTAGCTGACACTGAATGATATACAGCTGGAGGGTGTCTGCCCGTGAACAGAGCTCCCTTAACACCTGACACACTAAGCACAGCTCTCTATCTCATGAAGAGCCCTTATCCATTATAACCAGACAGATAGAAAGATAAATAACCCAGTGAGGTCCAGTATGTGTTTTATTTTGTCTTTAGTCCAGTGGCTGCTACATGTAAGGGCATCACGTGGTTTATCTGTTTGATTACAGCTATAAGGATTCCATTTACCGAGGTACAGTAGTTAACATGTGAGACCACAGTTTGTTTCCTATTTTCAACCAACAGAAAACCTCTATTTTACCCACAACCACAATCAGTAGCCTTAAAGGTACAGTCAGCGATTTCTAATTCATTACACATTTTGTCATATCCAGCTAAATTTTCTCTGCCTAGCCATCCAGACCTGCTCCACCACTTCCCCTTACAGCCTATACAATGAGGAGGAGAAAGACAGAGGCACAAAAAATGTTTTAAAAAGGATTATAACTATAATCAGGTGAAGCTGAGACCTGTGTAAACATAGCTACATGGTGCTTTTCTAAATGGAGAGAGCTCCTGCATTTAAAAGGGATGTGGATAGACACAGAGGTTGTTCTTCTTCTACTGGACAGGTGGCTCAGTTATTTGCTATGTGCCACTGAAAATTGTTTTGGCAACAGGCTAGCCTTTGTGGTGGTGTTATTTGTGCCACATTTGCCTGTTTGCTAAATCAACTTTTCCTGGGATATTCCACTAAAGTTCTATAGAGGAATCACCAAGTCTGTTTTCTGCTCATCCATCACTGTCTGGTTTGGCTCAACAACCAAACAGAACAGACTCCAGTGAACAGTCAGAACGAGTCATCGGTGCCAGCCTGCCCTGCAGAGAGGACCTGTACACCTCACGGGTCAAAAGGAGGGCTGAGAGGATCACTGCAGACCCCTCACACCCTGGACACAATCTCTTTGAACTCCTCCCCTCTGGGCGGTGTTACAGGTCACTGTGCACCAAGACAACCAGGCACAAGGACAGTTTCTTCCCCCAGGCCGTCGCTCTGATGAACACTTAACCCATAACTGTATGGCAGAACGACAACCCTCAGTGCAATACCTTGTAAATATATCTGCTATATATCTGCATCTAAACTTAACCTAAACCATAGGCTTTATCTTTCCTCACTCCACTTTCATCTAAGATGGTATCTTCCAGCTTCTGACTGGCTGAACACACCTGAGCCAGGTAATCAGCAGCAGGTCAGGCAGGGATAGTTGGAAAACAAGCGGGACAGCACCCCCTCGAGGACTGGAATTGGCCACCCCTGACTTAAACCATCATCTGTCCCTCAGTCTAACCAAATTGTTTTTGTGGCTAAACCTCAACAAACCTTTACCAGGGCACTGTCACAGCATAACAGTTTCTCCTAATTCCCCAATAGGTCATATCAAAGGGTACGGACAGACAACCTAGCCTATATTAGGACCACGGCAAGAGGACTTGTTAATTAGCTGACAGGTTCTCAAACATCAGCTTGGCCCTGGCTGTTATTTCTGGTCTACAATTCTCTCACAATCAGAGAACATTCGCTAAAGATGGCTACACACAAACACACACAGTAACCTCTCAGGCCAGGTAGCATTCAGTATTCTGTTGAACAGACCCTTCTCTCTGCTCTATTATTAACACTTCAATTCCACATAATAGAGTGCAGGTCATTCATTAGGTTCCTTTAAAATGATGATCAGAGGAAGAAGGGGAGGAGTGAGAGAGCACGGGTCAGACTGGGAGAGAGGGACTCAAAGCCTGTGCACGTGGTAGCGCTGATAGACCACTGAAGCCTTTTTTATGCCATCAACATTTTAAGCGCAGCCATTCTCTCGCTGCTGATAGCTCAGGGGGAAAAATAAAGTCTGTTTAATCTTATGCTCGCAGCCTTCCACACATTAAAACAGGCACATTAACCGCGCACTGCCTCGGATGAAATTTCTATTGCATGTTTGATATTGGGATTCTTCTTCATTATGCCAGTGTTTCAGTCTTTTTTTGTTTTTCTCAAATTGCTTCAACTTCCTCTCTTCTATTGTGTGGCTTTATTTATTAAACAAATGGTTGAATAAACGTTCTATTATCCTTATAACCTGAGTTTTGTAAACTGGATTTTAAACAACTGAAAAGGTGCAAATGTTCAGACAGTAATAAATGAGCACAGTAAAACATTGTGTTTTCTATTGATTGTCATTACATCTACTACAACACTATGTGATGTTTTCCTTTTTGTCTTCCGAGCACTGTGTGTGTGTGTGTGTGTGTGTGTGTGTGTGTGTGTGTGTGTCATGTGTCGGTCTGTCTGTAAGAGATAATGAGGCAGTCTGTGCTTCAACCGGCCAACCCCCGGACATAGCCATGAAGTCCTGTGAGCTGGCTGCTGAAGTGAAAAACTGGGGGCACATTTTCTGACGAACTGTGACCTTATACTCAGCTCAGCTCTGCAGCAACACATCTACAACAAATGAGATTCCAAGTTGCTCAGTTCCTCCTCAGCCTTCAGCAACAACAAGCCTGCAGCGACGGGAGGAACTCGTGCTGCCTGACAGGATGGGCTCCAGACAGTGACATGAATTAAGAGGAGGAGGATTTGCTTTAAACAAACAGTGAAACATTCAGCATCAGTCTTTTCCCATCGTGCTAATATACAGATGAGCAAGGATCTGCCACTAACACAAGAACAAATCAAAACAAACACAAAAGCCGAGTGTTTTTCTAAAACTTCAGATATTTTGCTTTCCTATCTTCTGAGCAACTATCACTTAATTTTGTCAGACCTAATTCAGTTTACAAGATCATGTAACAGAAAAAAGGCAGTCTCCTTTCTGACAACATATCACACACTGATGTACTTGCAGAAAAAAATCCATGAGGCCTTTATTTTAGAGGCTTGGGTTTCATCTGACATGTGCTCAAAAATCCAAAGTTCCAGAGGTGAAAGCTTTAAGACAGGGTTGCTGTCTCTTACCTTCTTCTTGGACTTGAAAACGTTACAGCGGAAGACATTACTCTGTCCGTCTCTGGCGATGTAGCTGAAAATCTTCAGATCCTGGGAGTCATGAGACACATAGAATATCCTGAAAGACAGAATAAAATTGCACAAAAATGAAAGAAAAATGTGAATATAATTCAAAACTGAATCAGAACTTGGATTCTAAATTTCTAAATATATGTTATGGGGCAAAACAGGCACCAAGCCCGTCTCTCTCTAGGGTTTCAGTGCAGCACTATTTAATCCAATGTCAAGTGGACCAACCTTTAGCCCTTGGGATAAAAGAAAGCAGTTTAGAAAGTTGTGATAAGATTATGGGTAAAGTATTAGTTAAATAAACTGGCAAGTACACACTTTCTCAAAGACTCTAAGTATTTGATACACCGCCGATTTTTCAAGTTTTCCCACTTACAAAGAATGAACAGATCTGTAATTTTCATCGTAGGTACACCTCAACTGTGAGAAACAGAATCTATAAAAAAAATTCCAGTAAATCACAGTTAGATTTTTAAATAATTTATTTCCTTTTTATTGCATGAAATAAGTATTTGATCACCTACCAACCAGCAAGAATTCTGGCTCTTACAGACCTGTTAGTTTGTCTTTAAGAAGCCCTCCTATCCTCCACTCATTGCCTGTATTCATTGCACCTGTTTGAACTCATTACCTGTGAAGGGATAACCAGTTCTTGCTACCATGCTAACTCTGAGAGACGAGGCAGTCCAAGTAACTTCAAAACAGTGCTGATTTATTCAAAGGATCACAGGTAAAATTAACATTGCACCTCCAAACTGCTCGCAGGCAGATGAAAGATGAAAGACCCTGAACCAAACCAGGCCTATACATTTATCTCTTCGGTTGGGCTAGCCCCATACTACACAGAAACATCAACCGCGACGTCTCTGGTGCCAGCTTTGCAGCTGGCCATAATATTATGGCTAAGGCTACAGTTATACACATCATAATAATAATATTAAACATCCTGTCTGCTGACAGTCATCAACTTTTCTCTCTAGTTATCCTTGACCATATGCACCCTGTAAAAACTCATGAGCATGACTAAGCATTTAACAGTCTAAGTAGGCATCCCGTCTCCACTAAACATTTCTAATACATAAAGTATCTATCCAATATCTATCTGACTAAAAATACCTAACACCTGTATAAAACACACCTGTCCCCACACTCAATCTATCAGACTCCAACTTCTCCACTATGGGCAAGACCAAAGAGCTGTCTAAGGACACTAGGGACAACATTGTAGACCTGCACAAGGTTGGGATGGGCTGCAGGACAATAGGCAAGCAGCTTGGTGAGAAGGCAACAACTGTTGGTGCAATTATTAGAAAATAGAAGAAGTTCAAGATGACTGTCAATCTCCCTCAGACTGGGGCTTCATGCAAGATCTCACCTCGTGGAGTATCAATGATCCCGAGAAAGGTGAGGGGTGAGTTTAGAACTACACGGGAGGACCTGGTCAATGACCTGAAGAGAGCTGGGACCGCAGTCTCAACGCTTACCATCAGTAACACACTACACCGTCATGGCTTAAAATCCTGCAGCACACGCAAAGTCCCTCTAATCAAGCCAGCACATGTCCAGGCCTGTCTGAAGTTTGCCAAAGACCATCTGGATGATCCAGAGGAGGCATGGGAGAAGGTCATGTGGTCAGGTGAGACCAAAATAGAACTTTTTGGTATAAACTCCACTTGCAGTGTTTGCAGGAAGACAACGTCTGACCTCTGTAATTGTAAACAAAAGTTTCGGTACCAAATATTAAGTTCTATTTTTCTATTGTATCAAATACTTATTTCATGCAATAAAATGGAAATAAATTCTTTAAAAATCTAACAGTGTAATTTTGTAGATTGTCTCTCACAGGTGAGGTGTACCTACGATGAAAATTACAGATCTGTCCATTCTTTGTAAGAGGGAAAACTTGAAAAATCGGTGGTGTATCAAATACTTACAGTATTTGCCCCACTGTATATGTGACTTCGAGTCAGGAAGCTGAGTGACACACACTGAAAGTCAGGCAAACTTTGATTCCAGGTAAAAATAACACTTCATATGAAAAGTGTGAGGAGGAGATGGTGGAGGTAACACTAACAAAAATGTCTATCCTGTGTGACAGAGGATGAAGGGGGAACTAAGTCTGAGACAGAAATAGAGTTCTCTGAGACACTGTGTGCATTATATTTGGTGTTGCTCAGTGAACTTAAAATATCAAGTAGCTAAAAGAAACAACTGAAACCTTAACCAGAACAGCTTCCTAATGGGACAGTTAGTGCCATATTAAAAGTGCTTCATGGGATATTGGGAGCAATTTATCACAGTGAGACAATGGGCAAAAAGGCACGGAGAAGAAATTAGATTTTGCAAAGGACCATGTTGAGTAAATGTGTGTCTTGCTGTGTTTCAACTGTATGTGCATATTTGTGTGTTTGTGTACTAAAAATCTAATACTCAATGACATTTCTGTGGTATTTCGTTTGGCCTTTTCTGTGGGAGCTTGACTAGATGAGGTCTGATCGTTTTGTCTTTGAAGAGCCTGCTTAGCAAACTGTCAAAATAACAGACAGCACTATCTGAAGTGACTCATACGATCTCACTCACTCACGTGTTTTCATTTCTCGTGGGGAGCTAACGCTGACCTACACTGCCAGTCAAATCTGAAAGATCTGGAGAAGACCTGTATGGAGGAGTGGGCCAAAATCCCTGCTGCAGTGTGTGCAAACCTGGTCAAGAACTACAGGAAACGTCTGACCTCTGTAACTGTAAACAAAAGTTTCGGTACCAAATATTAAGTTCTATTTTTCTATTGTATCAAATACTTATTTCATGCAATAAAATGGAAATAAATTCTTTAAAAATCTAACAGTGTAATTTTGTAGATTGTCTCTCACAGGTGAGGTGTACCTACGATGAAAATTACAGATCTGTCCATTCTTTGTAAGAGGGAAAACTTGAAAAATCGGTGGTGTATCAAATACTTACAGTATTTGCCCCACTGTATATGTGACTTCGAGTCAGGAAGCTGAGTGACACACACTGAAAGTCAGGCAAACTTTGATTCCAGGTAAAAATAACACTTCATATGAAAAGTGTGAGGAGGAGATGGTGGAGGTAACACTAACAAAAATGTCTATCCTGTGTGACAGAGGATGAAGGGGGAACTAAGTCTGAGACAGAAATAGAGTTCTCTGAGACACTGTGTGCATTATATTTGGTGTTGCTCAGTGAACTTAAAATATCAAGTAGCTAAAAGAAACAACTGAAACCTTAACCAGAACAGCTTCCTAATGGGACAGTTAGTGCCATATTAAAAGTGCTTCATGGGATATTGGGAGCAATTTATCACAGTGAGACAATGGGCAAAAAGGCACGGAGAAGAAATTAGATTTTGCAAAGGACCATGTTGAGTAAATGTGTGTCTTGCTGTGTTTCAACTGTATGTGCATATTTGTGTGTTTGTGTACTAAAAATCTAATACTCAATGACATTTCTGTGGTATTTCGTTTGGCCTTTTCTGTGGGAGCTTGACTAGATGAGGTCTGATCGTTTTGTCTTTGAAGAGCCTGCTTAGCAAACTGTCAAAATAACAGACAGCACTATCTGAAGTGACTCATACGATCTCACTCACTCACGTGTTTTCATTTCTCGTGGGGAGCTAACGCTGACCTACACTGCCAGTCAAATGTTTGAAATGAATGAGAAAGTGTGTCCAAGCTATCGACTGGTAGAGTACATTTGTTTCTCAGAGACTTACACTAACCCAAACCTAACCTTTAATCAAGTTGTCACCATAAAATTCAGTGATTTACACGTTGGGGACCAGCATCTGGTCCCAATGAGGAAGGAGAGTCCCCACTATGTAATAATAGGACGTGCGCACGCAGAGCTGGAGAGCTTCAGTTTGATTTCTGATGCAGTGCACTGCTGCAAAAACGTACCAGGCTCATAAAGTTCACATTTTAAGGATGCATCAAATCTGGCATAACTTCCCACAGGTGCTTAAGTGATATTACAGGGTTTCACATGACATTATCAGGGGACAATACCAACCACATTAGAAAACACCTGTTTCAGAAATTCAAACTCCACATGTGAGAGTTCAACTATGCAAAAACAATTTCATAACACGAGGATGGGATAGCAGCTTAGAATGTCACTTCACAGAGCAAACAAATACATTAAGATTAAAAATCAGATATACTGCATGTAATGTTTCTGTTCAAATGTTTGTCTGGTGTGGAGGACTTTCTGATATGTTTCACTTTATCCTGTTTGTCAAAGGAAAACTATAATCTATTACAGCTTTTATTTTTATAGGTCCAGCCATAGATTCTGCCAATTATGATCGTTTATTTTACCAAAGTGTGCAGTTCACACACTACAAATGTTCAGACAGGTTGAAAACAAGCCAGTAGTTTAGATAGAATATTTACCACTTTATCTGAAGGGAAAATAAACAGAGAACACACCTTGGACCAGTGCACACAACTACAGCAAACACGGTCAGTTAAACTTCAACTACTTGGTTTAATTTTGTGGTAATTTTCTTACCACAGAAAATAAGAGGCTCAGAACAGAAAATGATGCTGTGAAAATGCAGTTTGGTAGAGTACCTGCTGGAAAATACTGAGAAATAAGGCAACATTGCTGTGTGGCACTAAAAAAAAATCAGGCAGGGTGAGTATCTAGAACTTAATGAGGTCAGCAGAAACTTTTTTGTACGTGCCTATGTCAACAAACACAGATGGCTAACAGGACCTGTTTGATCATTTGTTATCTCCTGGAGGAAAACTGACCACTCCCATCCGGCTGCTCTTCACAAAAACCCTTTAGGTACCTGCTCTTCCAGCTCTTTCCTTGTACACCTGCCACCCCTCAATCCCAAGTCGCTGTGATAAAACTCCCCAACGGATTTCTTTAATGACAGGAGAAAGCACAGCACAAAGCCCAGTGGCACAGAGATGACAGCTCAGATACATCTCTATCAACTGTCTCCAGCAACAACAACTGCCAGCATCCAAGTGAAGGAGAATCACACAGATCAGATCTTGAAATAACAGAGGCAGGTTT